GGGATGTGGACGGCTTTGAGCGGCAGGCACAAGGGAATGTCCTTGACTTGGCAGTTGCTCGTGGCTGGAGCGATCTCTCGCACACTTCGCACTGCAGAGAGAGCAAGGCCTGTTTCAGTGTGCTTGCTGTGCCTCCTCGGGGTCGTTTCTCTTCGCTCCGCTCCCCCACCTGTAAAATGGGTGCAGCACCATGGCAGAGTTCAGCTCGCTGCTCAGCTTTACAATCGGCATGCGAGGAAGAAGGGATGTGGAGGGAGGAGGGATAATCACAGATTGTTGCCAAGGCTGGACCCAGTGGGACTTTGTGAAACCAAGGGGCATTTCCTCTAGGAATGTGCAAAACATTGTGGGGTAGTGGTTAGGGTGTTGGACGGACCCAGAGATACCAGGATTCAGATCCATGACGCTTCCTGCGTGACCCTGAGGCAGACTCTTTCTTAGCCCTGTCCTCCCCTGCAGGGTTGTTGTGAGGATAAACATGTAATGGGGAGAAAGCCCAACATGCAGCTTTTAACTCCTTACGGTCCAGTTTCCTAGAAGTCCTGACATCATTAACCTCTCTATGAAACGAATTAATTTGTCAAATTTTTTCATGTTTCATACTTTCCCACCATTTAGTAGAATGACCCATGAACTGCATTGTCTAGTGCTGAGCTGAGACTCATGAAATTCCTGTGTCTCCCCTCTGAATCAGCCTTTCCCTTGGAACCTTGAGGTCTGGAAACATAACTGCATTTTTAACTGAATACCTCACCTTTTTCTGCAAGGAACTTAAGGCACTGTACCTCGCCGCCTTGTTCTCCATTTTATCTGCACAATGACAACCCCACAAGGTAGGATGGGCTGAGGGCCAGTGGCTGCTGCAAATCACCCATTGGACTTCATAGCTGAGCAGGGAGCAGAATGCCAACCTCCAGAGTCCCAGTCTGTGACACTCTTGCCACTAGGCCACACTGCCTCTTTTTTAGAAGCAAGGTTGGTGATGGGGCACATATGTTGCAAAGACACCATGCCCAAGGGAACTGCAGTGGGTACCAGCGCTGACCTGGGGACGGAGACACTGCTGTCTGCATTGGCACAACAATCCCCCTACTGAGAGTTACGAAGCTACATAGAAACAGAGCGCGTCAGAAGGGGCCTCCTGGGCCATCTAGTCTGACCCCCGGGACCAGCCGGCTCAACTCACGACATGCCCACCATGTGCATGTCCAAGCTGGAGAGGACTTGATGACACAAAGCCATCCCCCGAAACACACGTGCGTGCTTTTGAGTGCCCCGGCACATAGCCCTGCTTCCATTGCTCGCTACACTGCCCAAATTCTTGGTGGCAAGAGGAAAAAAAAGACGACACGGAGAGGTAAGCAGACCACATTTTGTTTGACTGACGTTTGCATTTTTTGACTCTGCTGAATTTGTCCATGTAGTGGCAAGAGAGCTGCTGCAGTTTCTCCTCTGTCTGGAATCCTCCCAGGAATTTGGGGAGGGGGAAATAGAAACATAGAAACAGCAGTCAGAAGGGGTCTCCCGGGCCATCTAGTCTGACCCCGGTTCCATAAATAATACCCTCCTAGCACGTTGTTATCCTGCCCAGGATTTTGGAGGTGGCTTCGGTCCTAGGAAAGGCTGGTGACAGGCTGCGGTCAGCACTTCTGGGGGTGGCAAGGGGGGGGGGCGTGGAAGCCCACAGGCCTTTCCAGGTCTGCCATGGGCAGGCCGGCCGCTGTAATTCGAGAGCCAAGCCAGGATCGACGGGGCTGGTACCTGGGCGACTTGCGGCAGAGCGAGGGATAGAGTGCTGCCTGGAGAGATTAAGACTGGAAACCAGATCAGAGAGAGAAATTGAATGAAATTAGGTGGCTTGAGAACAAGGATCAGAAGGAAGAGAATTAGGGAGGGAAGAGCATTAGGAGCTCAGATCAAAGAGGATTAGAGGGGAAACACTGCAAGGCCAGGCATAAAAAACTCGGGAGCAAAGTGCTGGGGATTTCATAGTACATCCCCAAAGGTGCAAGAGAAAGTGTGAAGATAAGAACCTCAGGCCAGCCCTCTGTTCATGCGGAGACCAACCAGTTGGCCACAGGACATGACAGCAACAGCACCCATGTTCCCCAGCAACAGGGGAATGTAGGCAGACTGCTCCTGATCATGGAGGTAGTCCCTGACCATGAGGGCTAGAATCATGGATAGCCTTCTCCTCCATGAATTGGTCCGATCCCCTTTTAAAGCAGTCCAAGTTGGTGCCCCTCGCGATATTTCTTGGAAATTAATTCAGTTGGTCACTGGAGTAAATGGTCGAAACTAGACCAGTTTAGAGGCAAAGACCATAGAAAGGGTATTTCTAGTGGCGGTACCCCCTTTGTACGGTGCTTTAGAGCTCACCGGACACCTACAGTGTGGGCTTCTTGCTGCAAGGGAAAGGTTGTTTGATTCCCCCAGACATTTAAAGAACTACCTCAAGTATATTTTACACTTTGCTCTTGGTTTCGATTTGGTTGGCGGGTTTTCTCTTGGCTTTATTTTCTCCCACTGGAGCGCCGCGCATTGTTGTCAAAATAGTGGGCGCTGCCCGGAGAACCTCGGTTATTGGACGATTTACAAGTACAGTGAAAACAAAGAGACCCCCTCCACCAAATCGATCAATCAATGAATAAATGAAGACCGGCCAGCCTGGTGGGGCCGTCTGGGCAGAAGCTGCTCAAAATAGAAGAGAATGCAGCTGGGCTGTTTTCCCAGGCTGAGGCCTTTTGAGGAGGGGGGGGCTGGGATGCAGCACCGGGAGGCTCGGCAGCCAAAATCTGAATGGCACCTGCTTGTCATAACTCAGCCTGGAGGGGGAAGAGGGATTTCGAGCCAGAGGATGACTGGGTGTTACTGGGAACTGGGAATCATCTCGGCCCAAGTTGGCTTCCACGGGAAAGGAACAGCACCCCGTTTTTAAAGGACCCCCGATTCGAACGTGCCATGCAATCCTTCGCAGCATCTTTCAGGTCCCCGTCGCCAGGTTCCCAACTTCGGGCATTTCTCCAACGAATTCGAGAGACATGTATGCAGTTCTCCCAAGCCTAACTTGGTATCTTCATAGCAACCCTGTGGGGTAGGCTGAGTTGGGGAAAAGGGGCTTGAACACAGGTTTCCCGAGCCCTACTAGGAGGCTGAGAGGTAGCTGCCTGATATCTTGGGTTCATTTACTCAGTATTGCAAGCACTGACTGGCAGCAGCAAGATTCCTCCCTTGTGCCGCACGGAGGTGCTCGTGGGGGGGGGGGAATGAGGGACCCCTGTGCCTGCAAAGCACATGCTGGACCACCAAGCTTCACAGGGACATTGCAAACCTCCTCCTCCTGAGTTAGGCCCTGGGTCCATCCAACCTAGAATTCCCAGCACTGACTGGCAGCAGCATCTTTCCAGGTTTTCAGGCAGGGAGTGCCAGGGACCCTACAACCATCTTCAGCATGCAATGCGGGGCTCTGCCGCTCAGGTCTGTCCAATATTCTAATTCCGCCTTGCCAGCTGACCATAGTGGTACCTGATCCGATAACTGATTGAAACAATAGAATCATTACTTTATGACATCTGAGCTAGAAAGTGGAGGAAAGCCTGCTGGATTAGGACCGGGAGTCCTGGGTCTAACTCCATCGAGCCATGCTTTCCTTGGGGGCTGCTGGGAGGTGGAGTACTTGCTTCTCTGTCCAAACATGCATAGGATCGTGTCCTTCGTCCATTTAATGCAGTTTGCACTGGCTGGCCCAGCTTTGCCAGGTGCATCCGAGTCCTTTTCTCCAGTCTCATGTGAAGAAGGCAGAGAAATAAGATTCCAGTCCTCATGGTTCTGAAGAAAGGGCTGGTTTAAATTGGAGCTTTGGAAGCGGCCTTATCCCATGTCATATAACTTGCTAGTTGGGTTTCTGAGGCTTCAGACAAAGGACTTTTTCAGCTGAGAACCTTACGTGCCTTGCTGGAAAATTGGAATATGCATGTCAGAATATAGCAATTAAATCCCTTGCTGTGTGGTCTCTGGAGGTACTGCTAGATAAATAGGAATCATACATAAGAGGGTTGTCAGTGCATGTGCAAAGTGTCTTTCCCTTATTATGGGATGTTTGGGATTTGTAGGGGAAGTGTGTAAAGCAGGAGTGGGCAATTCATTTTGGATGCTCACGTCAGACTTGGTGTTGAGGAAAGGGATTCTGTACATGCTCAGAGGCATGTCTCTGTTTTCATAGAGCCTTCAAACTGCTCCGTTAAAAGCAAGCTTAGCTTCAAGTCCGGCCTTGATGATGGGCAAGAGAAGAGAAGGTGTCTTAATTTCTCACAGGCAGAAAGAAGCAAGAGCTGTGTGGTGTCAGTCTGTAACCCGGGGTGTATACACTGCCCCGCTGATGTTGGCGCTGTGCTGGTGTGCGGTGGGGGGGAGGTGCACCTTGATCCAGCCACGCAGGACGCCTTGCTGTGAGCAGCGCCCTTCCCTACCTGATTAACCGCGAAAGGGAGCCCTGAGACGCCTTTGGCACCCGGGACTGGAGGTTGTGAACGTCTGCATCCCTTCGCGGGCGAGACCCTTCGCTGGGCTCACGGGGTAGCGCAGCAACATGGAGGCTGGAATTTGTCGGTCCAACAAGCTCATTTCGCATTTTTCGCTCAGAGTCGCGGCTGGTCACCACTGGGTGGAAAGCAAACCACAGGCGGGTGACGCCTGTGAGATTCAGCGGCAGGACTCAGTAATGGAAAGAGACTAGCACTCCCAGCATGCCGCAGCCAGCTGTGCTGTGGTGGTCGGGGCATGCTGGGAGTCGCAGGTCTTTTCCCGGCGCATGCTGGGAGTCGCCAGTCCTTCGGCTATCCAAACGCACTCCATCCCGCGCCTGGAGCCAGCGGTCCTTTCGCTCGCAGCGAGGGGCGGGGTCCGTGGACCAGTGGGCGGGGCCTCGGGGGGGGGCGCCCCGCCCCCTCATGCATGATGCACGAGGCGGGGGCTTAATAGCGCCCGAGGGGCGGGCCCGGGGCGCATTTGCCTGCACGCCGAGGCGTCCCGCGCGACTCGCCCGCCCCGCAGCCCAGCCAGCCCAGCGCAGCCGGCGACTGACCCGCCACCATGTCGCGCCCGCTCTCGGACCACGAGAAGAGGAAGCAGATCAGCGTGCGCGGCTTGGCCGGCGTGGAGAACGTGTCGGAGCTGAAGAAGAACTTCAACCGGCACCTGCACTTCACGCTGGTCAAGGACCGCAACGTGGCCAACACGCGCGACTACTACTTCGCCCTGGCGCACACGGTGCGCGACCACCTGGTCGGCCGCTGGATCCGCACGCAGCAGTACTACTACGAGAAGGACCCCAAGGTGGGCCGGGGCGGGAGCCGTGCACGGCGCGCCCCCAGCGAGCCGCCCCTGCCCCCGGGAGGGCGCTCCCCGGCGCGCCCGCGGGGCCTCCGCCTTCCCGCCGCGGGGGACGGG